CATCAGTCCTGTTGGTTTCTCCTCCAGATCATTTATCCAGCCTATCTTATCTAGAGAGACCTGCAGAGAGAAAGCAACAACAACAAAAAACCCATGAAAAAAAAAAAAAGAAAAGCCAGTAAACAGTTCAAGGTCTGTTTGTTGACCTTTAGGATTGTTTTCTGGTGGAGTCTGACGGGTGCCACGCCTTGGCCCCAAAGTCTATTTTTGATATTCCCTTGGGACTTTCTTGCTTTGCTCCCCTTGCTGTTCTGTTGCATGTCCTTAATGTTTTGCCTGGATGTGGTGTGGTCAGATCGGGTGCAATTCCCACACTGTCTCCAGTGTTGTCCCCTGTAGGGTTATGGGTCAGTGAGGGCTGTCCTGTCTGGTAGTGGGTCTGGCCATATGGTCCTCTCTGAGCATTGGCTGTTTTGAGCGGGAACGTAGTCCTCAAGGTTTGGTGGGCCAGATGTGCTCCACTCTCTTCCTCCCCCTTCAGTTGCTCCTGTGCGCTCTGATCAGACATGTCCCTCTCCCTGAGCTGTAGCTTCAGTGCTGTCCTCTGAAGTGAATTATTTGGCGGCACCATAGTTCAAAGGCATCAAATCGTCTGGCTACCCCCAACTTTTTTTAATCGAGCCCAGTAAAGTCGATCCTAACTATTGTCTCCATTTTGCAGAAAAGAAATCAGAGGTTAAATAAACTTGCCCAAGACAACCGAAAACGTCTGAGCCCAGACGCAAAGCCAGCCCCAGAGGCCATAACTGCTTCATCATGGTGACGGATTAAGCACACTCGAGGGCGCAATTGGTTAGGATCTCCTAGGAACTCTCAGGATAGGCAATTAGGGAGAAGGTCCTTTGAGGTCCCGGCCAACTGCACTGGACAGCATCTGGGGATCTTTGCTCTGACCTCTGACTTCTAACCTTTGTGGCCCCGGCAGGATGACTTCGCGGGACCAACTGGTGTTGCGTGTGCTGCAGGAGCTGCAGGAAGCGGTGGAATCCGAGGGCCTGGAGGGGCTCGTGGGTACCGCCATCGAGGCCAAGCAGGTCTTGTCTTCCTTCACCCTTCCCCAGGGCCGAGATGGGGGCCCCAGCCCGCAGGTGCTGGAGGTGGACTCCGTGGCCCTGAGCCTGTACCCGGAGGATGCCCCGCGGAACATGCTGCCGCTGGCGTGCAAGGGCGAGGGCAGCCTGCTCTTTGAGGCGGCCAGCATGCTGCTGTGGGGCGACGCGGGGCTCAGTCTGGAGCTGCGCGCGCGCACGGTGGTGGAGATGCTGCTGCACCGGCAGTACTACCTCCAGGGCATGATTGACTCCAAGGTCATGTTGCAGGCCGTGCGCTACTCCTTGTGCTCGGAGGAGTCTCCTGAGATGACCAGCCTGCCGTCGGCCACGCTCGAGGCCATCTTTGATGCGGACGTCAAGGCCACCTGCTTCCCTAGCAGCTTCTCCAACGTGTGGCACTTGTACGCACTAGCCTCGGTCTTGCAGCGCAACATCTACTCCATTTATCCCATGCGCAACCTCAAGATCCGGCCCTACTTTAACCGGGTCATTCGCCCACGCCGCTGCGACCACGTGCCCTCCACACTGCACATCATGTGGGCGGGCCAACCACTCACCAATCACCTCTTCCGCCACCAGTACTTTGCCCCCGTGGTGGGGATGGAGGAGGTGGAGGCCGAGAGTGTCACCAGCCTGGTCCCGGCCCGGGCTGCGCTGCCACCTCCGGCCAAGACCCTGGAGCTGCTGAACCACGAGCCGGGCCTTAGCTACTCACACCTCTGTGAGCGCTATAATGTCACCAAGAGCACCTTCTACCGCTGGCGGCGACAGTCGCAGGAGCACCGGCTGAAGGTGGCCGCCCGCTTCTCGGCCAAGCACTTCCTGCAGGACAGCTTCCACCGCGGGGGGGTCGTGCCTCTGCAGCAATTTCTGCAGCGTTTCCCGGACATCTCCCGCTCCACCTACTACGCCTGGAAGAACGAACTGCTGGGCATGGGCACGGGCGCCTGCCAGGCTCTGCCCGCCCGGGAGGCGCGCGCCGGGCAGGAGCTGGAGGAAGCGGCTGTGGAGGAGCAGCAGCGGGCGCAGGAGCTGGGCTGCCCCCCGCCGCCGGCCTCGAGCCCTGGGGTGGTCTTCATGCAGAGGGCCAAGCTCTACCTGGAGCACTGCATCTCTCTGAACACGCTGGTGCCCTATCGCTGCTTCAAGCGCAGGTTCCCGGGCATCTCGCGGTCCACCTACTACAACTGGCGCAGGAAGGCCCTCCGCAGAAACCCCAACTTCAAGCCGGCGCAGGGTCTCGAGGCACCAGGGCCCCCACCAACGGCCTCTCTCTGGGAAGAGCCTCCGTCCCCGGGGAAGCAGGGCGAGGTGGTAGAGGTAGCCACGGAAGTCACGGGTGGGGTGGCCCCTGCACCGCGGAAACGGCTGCCCCCGAGGGCCCCCCGGGCCCGCTGGCAGAGGCGTCTGCGCCGGGCTGCCCGCAAGTTGGTGCAGAACGGGCTCCCTTTCTGCCGCTTCCGCCTCCGCTACCCGAGTCTGTCACCGTCTACCTTTTGGGCTTGGAAGAGCCTTGCCCCCGGCTGGCCACGAAGCCTGTCCAAATCCCTGCGGGAGGCCCCTGCCCTGGGCAAAGGAGGGGGCCCAGAGGCTAAGGGGAAGCCCAGGAAGGAAGCTAGCTGGTGGGCAGCGACTGCAACGTCGCCAACAGAGGTCCGCCAGGCCGGGCCCTCTCCGAGAGAGGTTCCAAACGAAGTGCTGGGAGGGCCTTCCCAAGAGAGGGCGGTGGCCCAGGACCCACCCCATGGTGGGTCCTCCTCCAGCTGTCGCATCGCATCAGGCGACGGCCAGGTGCTCGTGATGGACATGATCACCACCACGAAGTTCAAGGCCCAGGCCAAGCTGTTCTTGCAGAAGCGCTTCCAGTCCAAGAGCTTCCCCTCCTACAAGGAGTTCAGCGCCCTCTTCCCCTTCACTGCCCGCTCCACCTACTACATGTGGAAGCGGGCCCTCTACGACGGCCTCACGCTGGTCGATGGCTGACCGGTGCTGGGGAGACTTCATTGGGGCTGGCAGGCAGGGACATGGCCCTCCAGCCAGGATGCCCTTCGAGCTGGCTCCCACAGGGTTTATGTTTCCTGGCTTAGGGAAGAGAGAGCCAGAAATCCGCCACAGGGTTCCTTTCGGGGGATCAGGTATGTTTTCTTTTGTTGGTTTACAGTAATTTGAATTTTATATCACTTTGACCTTTTGTTTGTTTTCCCTTCAGTAGGCAGGCCGGGCCCGTGGCTGGTGTTGGCAGCTGTGAGTGTGTGTGCTGGCAGGGTGGTGGTGGTGGTGGTGAGCTGAAACTGCTCTCTGCTTTGTGGGGTGCAAGGAGTATTATGGTGTGGCCATCTTTGAGGCAGAATAGATGCCCTCCATTCCTTTGGGGGGTCAGCACCCTGTTCACTCCGATATTTTCCAGAGGAGCATTGGGATTACCAAGTGGGGCAGACTCCCCTTGAGCAGAAGCAAGAGTGTTCAGGAAGAATCTGGTAACCTGTAAGGGCAGCTCACGGACTGGCAGAGGACATGGTCTAGGGCAAGGCTAGTGGAAGAACCAGGCCCTCTTTGGGGAGAGAAGACCCCACTGCCCTCTGTAGCTCGGCTGGCTAATGGGGAGGGACTCTGGCTTTCTGCTGGCCTGTCCCCATTCTCAGAGAAAAGGGACCCCCATAATGGCCAGCAGGGGGCGAGGATGCTTGACCTTGAAGACTGAAACAATAAAGTCATGTCCCACCACTAAGCCTGGGCCTCTGGTGTTTGTTTTGCTAAGATGTCACAACTCCCTATGATGTCACAGCTCGCTCCCACATTCCCTGGGGGTTTAATGGGATCAAAAGGGCCCATTTCTCCATCTGCAGCCCGGGGATTGGGGCATGGTGAGAGATCCCTGGGGACTCTGCTTAGAGTTGTCTAAAAGTGCGTCTAGCCAGCGTGCTAAGGGGCTGCCTTGATTAGAGAAACCTGCCATTTCAGATGTGCTCAGAGACTTGGGCCAGCACCCACTCAAACTTATCACGGGGGTTTCCAGATTTTAATGAGACCCACCTGAGTCTGGCCTACTTCTGGCTCTATTTCCCACACTGGACACACTGCCCTCCCAGCCAGACTGACCTTTGTCCCTACCTGCTCTTCCGGCACCCTGGCATTAACCAGATGTCCTGATAATTGCCTGCTCTGTGAGGCAGGGTGTGTATCCTGCTCTACAGGGACGCCGCAGCACTGGGCACGGGGTGGTCAATTCCAACCACTGTTGTCTGACTACTCAGTCCCTTGGTAGTCAGTCTCATAACCTTTGCTGAAAAGATTCTAAAACAAAAACTGCCATTTAATCAATGCCGACTCAAATCGACCCTGTATGACAAGGTAAAGTTCCTGAGACCGGAACTCGTTAATAGGAGTGGAAAGCCCCATTTTCTGCCGAGCCGCTGGTGGTTTTGAAGTGCTGATTTTGCAGTCAGCAGCCCAAAGAGTAACCACCATGTCCCCAGGGCTCCTGAGGGATTTGATAAGGATGTTCTATTTGGCTTAATGGTTCTGTTGTTTCCACCTCTAACCAGCAGGTGGCAGTCTAGTGCAGCAAGAGGAGCCTCTGGGTTTCCAGTAGGCCAAGCCCTTTCAGGCTGGTCCTCACCCTTGGGACCAGCCTCCCTCCAGAGGACCACCCTGGTGAAGCTTTGTGTTCTGTTGAGTCCTTGTTTGAGTTCTCAGACCAGAGTAAGTCTTCTGATGCTATTGTCTCACTCATTCAAAACTCACTGCCATAGAACTGCCCCTGTGAGTTTCCGAGACTATAACTCTAAAAAGGAGTAGATAGTCCCATCTTTCTCCCTCAGAGCTCCGAAGGTCTTGAACTACTGACCTTGCAGTTGGCAGTTAAATGCATAACCGTTATGCTACTAGGGCTCTCAGAGAGCGTCTAAAACCATTTGATCACATTTTGGGTCCCTAATGAACTCAATAAATTGAGAGTGGATTTCAAGGCCCCTTCCAAACCTGATTCCAACCTGAGATGTTGGGGAGGCAGTGTCTATGCACATAGGTAAGGTACCTCCCTTTTACCTCTGTAAAATGAGGGTGCAGTAATGTCTATAGTATAGTATCTTGCACATGGTTAAGTGTGGTGTCTAGTTTGAGAGCCACTGGGAACCTAATTCCTGTTTATTAGGGAGGAAGCTGATACCCAAGGAGACTTGCCCAAGGTCATCCTCAAGGTTAAAGACCATCCTGTCCCAAGAGCAGCTCTTTTCGCAGGTGGCAAACACTGACCCCTGAGCCCTTAGGGCTTTTGTTGGGAAAACTAAGATAAAATAATATGTCAATATTTATTGATTGGGAAATGGCTTTATAAATTCTGATTAAAGTTATTCTTGTGTAGAAAAGCTGATTCCTTTATAATCTCAGAAAAGCAGGGGCTGATTGCCGAAGCCCTGACCGCATTTGCTAAGAACACTTTGGGCTGATTTTGAAGTTGACATATTGTTGATTCTTTTCCCCCTTTCTTTTCTTACACCAAATCCTGACTTGTTTGCAGATGTAGACAGAAACGCGAGGGAAGTGAGCTATGTGTGGCGGGAGGAAGAAAGGACCACGTGAAGCTAACTTTGCGTCTCCTTTCAACACTTTGCTCAGATGTGAAACAACTGGTTCTAAAAATAAACAAATGAAAAGCTTTACTCTCAAACACGATTGAGTGGAACACAAATTATTAGAAAAAGGTTACCTCGGCGTTCCCCTCAAGGGTGTAGGCAGATCATCCGGGCTACCCTGGTGTATGAGGTGGTTCCTCAGGAACTGGTGTTTCCCTGGATTCCAGCACTCCACCTCAGGGCACTGCTGGTGGCTCTTGAGTCCTGAGCCCACTGTCCCTCCTGGTTGGTACACCAACACCTCAATCCCTCCAACACCAGGCTGGGCTTACCCACCACTGCCCACCAATCTATCTTTCGAGGATTTCTGGCAGCATTCAGTCATTCGCTTTGCTCACACTACCACCCACGGCCATTGAATTCATTCTGATTCACAGTTAATCTATAGGATGGGGTAGAACTGCGCCCTCAGATTTCTAGGCAGTAAATCTGGACAGAAGTAGACTGCTTCATCGTTCCCTCTCAGAGTGGCTGCCGGCCTTTCCGGGGGCAGGTCCAACCCTTAGTCCATGGCACTGCCAGGGCTGCTTTGTGGACAGGAGCCACCGTGTTGGTGCTTACAGCATCCTTAAGCTTTCTGGTCCAGTGCCATCCTCACAATCATCACTGTGTGTTAGCCCATTGTTGTAGCTACTGTTTGTTTGTCTCACGGAGAGGCTGGTTTTTTTACTGACCCCTTGACCCCCATACAATCCTAATGTTCTCCAGGTACCAGTCCTGTCTGATAACATGTCCAAAGTACGTGAGATGGAATCTTGCCATCCTTGCAGAATAAGGGGTATTCTGGCTCTGCTTCTAAGACCAATTTGTCCATTCTTTTGGTAGTCTACAGGACCTTCCCTAACTCAGATGCATCAATTCTGCTTTGATTTTATTCTTATCCATAGGCCTTTGCATTCATGTTGTGTTAGTCTGGGTAGACTAGCGAAACAAAATTAACAGATACTCGTGTGTATAAGAAAGCTTTATAATCTATAACTTATCAAGGGTTCATGAGGGAAGGTGGATGGGGGAGGGAGGTGGGGAAATGAGGAGCTGATATCAAGGGCTCAAGTAGAAAGAAAACGCTTTGGAAATGATGGTGGCAGCATATGTGCAAATGTGCTTGACCCAATGGATGAATGTATGGATTGTGATCAGAGATGTAAGAGCCCCCAATAAAAGTAATTTTTTAAAACTTTCTATCAAAGAGTAATTGTATATTGAGAAAACATCCCAGTTCAGATCAAGTCCATAAGTCTGATATTAGCCCATATGTCTGATACTAGTCCATAAATTCTTTAGACTCATGCAGCCATGCAATGATGCAGAATGAAGGAAGATCACCGGCCAGTGGGTGGAAAGTCTTGTGGATCCAGTGGCAGTGAAGGCATCTCAGTACTGGCATGGGTCTCCACGTGGTTTCTCCAGTTCCAGGGCTCCGGCTGCATCAGTGTAGCTCCATGTGGCTTGTCACCAGGAATGTCTCACAGGGAGTGGGTGTATCTGGCCTCCAGCGAGCTATTTATCTCCATTGTGCCTCCAAATGAGGTCACCAAGCTGTGACTTGATAGGCTAGACTCCACCCCTTTGCAACTTGACAGAAGATTATGTGACTGCCACACATGCGAAGCTGTTGGAAATATGGCCTATATTAAGTGCACCTTAGTCCTCAGAATGACATTTTTTTCCCCTTAGACACTTTAAAGGCTTTTGGCAGCAGATTTGCCCAGTACAAGGCTCTGATTTCTTGGCTGCTGCTTACATGGATATTGATTGTAGATCCAAGTGAAATGAAATCCTTGACCACGTCAATCTTTTCTGTGTTTATCTTGATGTTCTCTATTGGTCTAGTCACGAGGAGTTTTGTTTTCTTTACACTGAGTTGGAATCCATCCTGAAGGCTCTTTGCGATCTTCCTCAGCAAGTGCTAAAACCACTCTTGGCTGTCAGCAACCAGCCCGTGTCGTCTGCCTATTGCAGGTTGTTGATGAGCCTCCCTTCATTCCTGATGCCGAGTTCTTCGCGGAGTCTGGTGTCTCTGATTATTTGCTCAGCAGAAAGACTCGATAAAAATGGTGGAAGGACAACCCCGGTGCACACCTTTCCTGATCCTAAACCTTGCGGTGCCCCCTCTCCTATTTGAACGGCTGCCTCTTGATCGTGAGCGCCATGATGCTTTCCCGGGACTTGCCCTGTGTAGTGCTATCCACAGCTATGAGCTACACGGCCCAGTGCCTTTTCAGAGTCCATGCAGCAAATCAGCATCTCTCCTGTCAGCCAAGATGTCAGGCAGCCGCAGTGTCCCTCCGTCCACATCCTCTGCTGAAAGGGCTTCAAGGTCCCAATTCTCCCTTTAGGATGGGCACCGGAAGTCAAACAACACATCGCCTTAGGCAAGTCAGCCAACAGCCTCTTTAAAACCAAAGAGCAAAAGATGTCACTTGGAGGGCTAGGGGGTGCCTGACCCGGGCCATGGCAGTTTCAGTTGGTATATATGCACGTGGAATCCGGACAAGGCATATGGCAAACCATAGAAGGATCCATCCCTTTAGTGGATGGCATTGGTGAAGAACATTGGGTGGACCGTGGACTGCCAGAAGAACCAACACATCTGTTTTGGAAGAAATACAGCTCCTTAGGAGAGAGGACATGGACACACTGTCGTCTCACGCACTTTGGACTTGTGATCAGGCAGGGCCGGGCTGGAGAAGTCGAGGGTCGGATAAAAAGAGGCAGACCTTGCAACAATGGGCTCAAACAGACACTGCTAGGCAGATGGCGCAGGACTTGCCGGGAGCCCCGGCTGCCCAGTGGTTAGCTACAGCTGCTCCATGGGAGGAAGATACAGCAGTCTTTTAATTATCATTAAATACTTTTATTGGGGGCTCTTACCTCTCTTATCACAATCTCTACATTCATCCAGTGTGTCAAGCACATTTGTACATATGCCACCATCATCATTTTCAAAGCATTCTCCTCCCACTTAGCCACTGATATCAGCTCTCCATTTGTTCCCCCTCCCTCCCTCGTTTGCCCTCTGTCACGAACCCTTGATAAGTTATAATTATTTTCA